TATGATTCTATGATTCTATGAAATGTGCCACTCCCTACACTGCATTGCTCCCACCGTGAGCTGTTCTACATCTGCAGCAGTGGGAGAGAAATTGGGCACAAGGCAGACACGGGGAAAGCTCTGTGTCATGCAAGGTGGGGGATGCAGCTGGAAACAGCAAACCAGAGGGATGCCTCTCTTTGAGGTACTGACCATGGTTAGTATGAGACAGGTAATGGAGAGGAGAGGAAAGCAGCACAGCATGGTGCAGAGTACTGCTGTGCATAACTGGAGCGATACGTGCAGTAAGCACTGTGTAGTGCACAGGAGTTGGCCACGATTGTACTGAAACAGTCCCTTAGAGCACAGTGCTGGCTGTGGTGAAGGGAGGGAAGAGAAGACGAGTGCTCCACAGCTGACAAGGTAGGCCTGAGGGAGTGCTGCTGATGAACGAATACTGCTGAGGTGTATTTTTATAGAGCCCACCAGCTGTACTTAAAGTCCAGTTTGGTCCCTAATAAAGGAAAGGTTCCCAACCCTGAAATAAAAAGTTGATTGTATCTTAAAACAACTCAAACTAGCACTAAACCTGCTGATGAGAATAGCATGATTGCTGTTGCTGAAAAGGTCACTATCTAGACTGTACTTTACCAATGCTCAGATCAACCCAGTTTTGACAGCAAGAAAATGGAAAAACTACACCTCCATAATTCAGTAACCTAGGTGAGGAGATAAATGCAGACTTTACATTCATACACATGTATCTTCCCTCTAAGAAGAGGTCAACTCCCATTTAGACACCCAGCATTTGGACACATCACTAGGGTTCAGCTCATTTGAAGATCCAGCTCTAAATACAGTTGAAAATCTGGTGCTGTCATCCTTAGATAAGGACTCTTCCAAGCAGAGACACATTCTGGGCAACACCCACTCGAGGGCTTACAGCTTCTGTGTCAGTAATTGGGTAAATTCTTCTAAATACCCAGCTGTTCCAGAAGAAGAAAGGGTGACAATGATACATACATGAGTTTTACAACATAAACAGGCTGTACTACTCCACTGGATGTACAAAATCTTTGAAGCTGCCATCTCCTTGCTGCTAACAGGTGCTACAATGTTTCCATTCTAACTCTTTCTTAGTCACTTGGGTATTTAAGATAAATTTTGCAAGCTATTTCTGTACTATACCATGACTAAGGAGACCTAATATAATATCCTGCAATTTCTCAGCATATTTTCACATCACTGAGCAATGCTTTTATTGGATCTACAGGCATGTACTTTCCAGGCTAGTATCTAGTGGCATAGGGAGGATCACATCTGACACAAATACGGGCTGATCCAAGCAAACCACAGAAAGTAAAGTCAGTGATCCCCCAAAAGAAGCACAGATTCCAGCCAGCCAAGGTATTAATAGCAGCCTGGGAAACAGATCCAGGAAGTTTGGATCATAGTCAGACCACCACATGCTGAAGGAAAATAAGCCCCAGCCTCAGGCATCTGACAGTTTCATTTTTGCATTTTCAACTGGCCAGTAAGACAGCTGGCAGTGTCAACCTCGTGACTAGAAATACAGGAACAGCAGCCTCAAAGCGGGCAGCATATCAAGTGATACTAAGCCAAAAAAACATTGGCTACTCTTTATTTTCACACCAGTTTCTTGAAAGGCTTTGCAAAACTGGCTTACATGTTATTTTGGGGAAAAAAAATCCACAATTTTTTATGCTCTCTGTCAAAATTTTGGTAGAGGATTATTACTATCAGTGCTCTTGTCCTTAGTTTTTAATCTCAGCAATGGGTCGTAAATGTACATTCATCTGCAACCAGATTAATTTATCCACACATGGGTTTAGAACAGATTCATCATTACATAAAATCAGCTGCTTATTCAAGAAAACCTTTCCTTCTCAAGTGCTTGCTGATACACTGTAGAGTGGAAGACATACGAGGATTTTATAAGAAACTGGTATTTTCACCTTACTTCTCTGACGTAATACTCTGCTATTTGAAAGGCTTAGAACTGAGATTTTTTATTTTCCCAAATTATTAGGGCCAGCTTGATTATGATTCTGACAACTACATATCCAGCCACTTCAATCTGATATGTTTGATTTTACCTTTCAGTTACTGAGCTTTAAAAAGTGCATACAATCAGCAAGTTATGCACATTGATTGTGAAGACAGGATATCAAGTCTTATATAAGGTAGCTTAGTAACCTGCACCACAGACTAAAATTCACTCAGCTGTGTCTCTATTTAGCATACTTTGGGATTGCTGGGATTACCAACTTTCTTTGCTGGCTTTTTGATATGATATCAGCAACTACTCCCCAACACAAGTCTCCTCCTCAAAACAAAAAAATCCTTGATGCAATACTTGGTATTAGAATTTCCCTAGGAAAATAAGCATCTCTGATAGACTTTCACTTTCACGTGCAGAATCTGAGCTGGTACTTGTAAGCTGTGGCAACCGGACCCTCCTCTCATTGTTACTGGAAGGCATTGAAGGAGCTTAAAAATGGAAAGCATTTCTATAAACATAATTTTGTGAGTAAAATGTCAGATCTAAACATGCAAACAGAAGGCAAGTTCCTCTGCTTAGATGAAATATTTGGTTGTAGTTAATGAACAGGACGACTTGCAATTGACTTCAAGCCTACCAAAATGTGCTTACATTTCCACCGCTAGAAAATTACAAGACAGAGTAATTCCTTACATCCTCAGACTCAAAGACATGGCAAATCATTTTGTACTGCCTCTTTCCGTCTTGAGAAGGGTGAGATGCTTCCACATTATCCTGGGAGTTAGACCGTGGCATTCGCCTACGAGCCATCAAGACAACTATATTTCCTATATCTGCAATGTAAGAAATGGTCCGCAGGGGATGATCCATCATGGTTTCCTGGGGAACACAAAAACCAACATGAGCAGCTGTTTCAACGAAGTTCTTACTGCACACCTAGTATTATGAAAACAAACAAATGGCAATATAAGACCTTTGTTAAGTGAAGTCTCTAATACCTGTCATGCATGAAGGGAGATGCCACAGAAAAGAGCTTCACTTTCCAAAAGTAAAGCAAAAAGCAAGTTTTACAAATTAAAGATGTGTTTTCTGTGGAAAAGCGCATAAACACCTCAGTATCAGAATCTGAATACGCTGGGCATAGAACTATGGTGCAAAGGACTATGAACTTCAAATTATCACAACTAAACATTGTGGGCTACTCTAGGCACAATCAATACTTGACGCATCATGGCTCGTAAGAAATGAGCTGACTGCAATTAGCTTACCCGCAATTACTGATCATTTCTACAGTCAGACTCACCAGACTAACTGCATGTATGACGGTTCTTGAGCATGGATTTCTTATTAGGAAATCCTGGAGAGAAATACAAGATCCAGCACTTTTTGAAGGAAAATTTTGGCAGGTAGGTGAAAGTCTATTTCTGTAGCCTGCTACCACAATACTGACAAAGGTGTCTTTGTCTATACCTGTGTGTCTGCATTCAGTACTTTTATTCTCTGTGTAGAAATGAAGAGGTCCACTTCAGTCATGGGTTGAGATTCACCTTCTGGAGCCTGCAAATAAATGGATTAGAGTCAAACAAACACATTAGGTAACATAGTTACTAATGATGTTAGCTCACGAACAGGGGTGCGCTAAGACACAGTCACCAGAACAGCAATGCAAGATAGAGTATTAGACTGCAGAAGCTAAAGATAAACACAAAGATATGGAAACTATATACATATATGTGAAAGTGAATTGGATATTATTTGAAAAATAGTCAACCCCATAAAAGCTTCCCTGATATTTTTCCTGATTCAGTAAAATTACATCTGACTGCAACATGAACTATAAAAAGATTTCATGAAAATCAAAATGATTCTCCCATTTTCTCCACACTATGAATCCCACTTTAAGGAAGGTTTTTCACACAAGCCGTAGAAAGGCCTAACAGCATCTCTTGCCTGAGGAATTTCTATGTGGGCTAACAGTGACTGCCAAGATCAATGGAAAAACCTGTACCACAGGCAGGTACAGTTTAAGCAATTCATAATGCAGTTCTGGTAAGAAGACCTTCACAGTCAGACAACATACTATTCAAGCACTAAGCCACTTTAGAAGTCATATTTTGTTAACAGAAAGCAAACGTTTGTATTTTTTAAAAAAATTAGATTTGTTAAAAGATACTTAAAAACTCCACAAACGAAACTTATTACTAAGATGAGTCAATCTCAGCATATTACTGTATATAAATAATTTTTTTTTTTTGCATCCAGCAATTTGACACATCTGTGAATCAAACAAAGCACTCTTTTACAAAGATAAAATAAAAAAAAAAAAAGACTATAATTTTAATCTGTCATTTTACAGAGTTAAAACCTTTGCCATGTCAGTCCTGTTTCTTTAGTATGCGTTTTGGGTACCGCCTGTAACCATTTGATAAATCCAATCTTTGCTCTATTTCTAACATGAAATGGCTAATGATAAGCAACAAAAAATGGCCAATCAGGCAACTGATTTCTGAGAAATGTCAACTTGTATGGTGGCTCAGAAATAAATCTTAAAAAAAACTTGCTGGATGCAGAAAATAAAAACACAAAATAAAAAGAAAGGCAAAAAACCCTCCCAGAAAACAAAAGAACAGGCATAACATCAAGCTGATGGAGTTTGTACTGCACCTTCTTCCTGCTTTTGGCTAATTTCTGGGCCATCTGCTTAGCATGGAACAAACAGAGACAGGAGAATAGTTAGAGAAGAACTTACAGAGACTCCAAGTCAAGCAGGAATCTGCATGCTAATGCCAGGGCTCACAGACTACTAGCTGTTCTAAAGTAGTCCCTGCTCAGATTAATTTCCTTCTTTTCTTTTTGGCTTAAAAAAAAAAATTAAAAATTTCATGTTTTGCACAATTACTTTAAAAAATGAAAAGAAACCGCACCAAAAGAGTCAGGAAGAACACAAAAAGATTTTTTTTTTTTTTTTTTAAATTTAAAACGTTACTCGCAATAAACAAGGGGGAGGGGTTTGTGGGTTTTTTCTTGTTTTGTTTTTTTTTTTAAAGAAAAAAAACAGAGCTTCCCCTCATTTACAGCAGTGTAAACCATGACGTTACTTCTTTTGAAGCAACACCAGTGTAAAAGGTGAGAGAAGAATCTTAACCATTATTATTCCAGCTTTTCAGATCTAAAGAATTTAGATTCAAGTTTTCTAATGCTCTCAAACTTAAATAGTCTTCAAAACATAACTTCCCTAAAACTACGCTACTTTTTCCTGGAGAAACAAAATGACAGAAGGTAAACTTCAGCTCCATTTTCTCCTCCTTCTGTGCAAATATACCCATACCAAAGTTAGCATTGCATATCTGGACAACAGGTTCTCCTGTAACACCTGCACAAAGATATGTCCATACTACCACATTTTTTCAAGAAAGCAGTGGAGCATGTACTTCAGTTCCACAAACACCTGAAAACAGGTCTCTTGTCACTAAGCAGTTTAACTGATTTACATCCAGAGATATATCAACCCATTGCAACAAACTGGTTCTTCATGTGCTACTACTGTGGCAACAATAACAACACAAATAAGCATCATTCTTACAGTCTTGCAATCATTAATTCAAACCAAGGTGAATTGAACTTACAGACCTGCTTACTGAAGAAATGCAACTCACCAGGCTGGCAGATATCCTTTTACTTCCAACAGTAACAGCCTTTTATCTAACTAAATCAACCAGTGTTCTTGTGGTGGGAAGGAGGCTTAACTGTTACAGGCTTCACAAAGATTCATGGCTAACTACTTTTATGAAGAACAAATAGGAGACCACAATCACAAGACACATCAAATGTTTTATACTGATACTCACAACTGAAATCTGTCAGGTTTCGTCCAAACAAATCTGAAAGCAGCTACTGAAACTTTAGACCATGCTGCTTATTTACAAATATAAACATTCTCACACCAGCTTTTAGTCACTTTTTTCAAACTAAGAAATATTTGATAGCCTGGTGATTGCAAACTATTGCAAAAGCAATTAGAACTGCCTCATCCTGCAGGCTCTTCATTACATTAATATTAATTTACATTGGTATTCAGAAATAATATACCCATCTTGAGTAACAGCTGCCTGCCATACACTGGGCAAGCGGGAGACACTCATGAGACAGAGCACTTAAATTGCTTTCCAAAATCAAGCTCTCCTTCACACAATTTCCCCCCCTTCCCAAACTTTACAGAGTGATGGACCTCACAAAAGAAGAAAAGCACAGGCCAAAAAGAAGAAAAAGGGGGAAAAAAGTCCATGAGCTAGGGGTATGCAATGCAGAATCAAAGATTAATCGAACCACACTATCATTCAATTTATTGAAAATTCTGCTCTTGCAATGGAAGCACCTGGTCTTAGTGGTATTTTAATTTTTTGAAGAATGACTTTCAAATATTTCATAAAACTAAGGTAATGATATGGAACAACCAATTTTAATACGTGATTTAACACTGCACAGAAGCGTCATAAAAGAAGTTATGGTCCATGAAAAAAACAAATTAGGATAATTCTATGCAAGACACTTTATCAGACAAATCCTCTTTATGACCATGTTATTTTGCTACTTTAGATCAAAAGATTCTTTTTGTATTCTTATAAAAACCAGAAACTACCTAATCTGAACAAAATACTGTTTTTTTTAAATACACAGAGTCCAGGCTTTTCAGTTAAGGTAAACGAAATGTAACTATGTATCTAGTAGCAACTTCCAAAATCATAAATTGTTAAAAACCAGCAAGCTTCCACTTCTGCTACAGGGATGTCTTAAATACACTCAACCCATTTAACCTCTACAATAAAATGTACTGCAACTCAGTGAACACTCAGGTAACACCGAGCAAACAAAATGTACAGAATATTAAACTACTTCCACGTATGGGTTCTATCTTAAATTACATTCAGTAATTAAATCAGTTGTTATCTAAAAATTTTCAAAACTGCCACACAGCTCAAATCTGCTGACGAAAAATAAAAACAAAAGTTAATTGTTAGTTCACATGTGAAACGTAACAGCACAGATCAGCTGTGAATTGTAACCATGAACACTAACTTTTTTACTATTATGGATCTATCTACTATATTTAGTACTATGGATCCACTCCAAGTAAAATTTGAAAAGATATTTCTTTCTATGCTATCTGAAGAAATGAGATGACAGTCTGCAAATGGTGAAATACCTTTTCTATTACTAAAACTACCTCCTAGTGGAAACACAAAATAACTACGTTTGACGAATGCCTTCAAAGAAGTGTATCTGTTTTAACTTAGTTGACTTCACAGAGATGAATGCCCAAGCAAGAAAACCCCCAACTCTTGTACTTTTAACTGAAGAGATACTTGTTTAAAGAAGCAGCATGGAGAATTGTTTTCAAAATCTGTTCATATACTAAATGAATGAGTATGTTGTCTGAAGGCTCTGCTAAAAGGAAGCATTATAGGTATTATTAAATTCAAAAGGAACATACTCATATGGAAGGCATGTGTACACAGTGGGCCTTAAACAAAGCTCTTCCCCCCCTTTTTAATGCTCTTACCTTCAACTGCCAATTTTTAAAAGTTCATTCTTTAATTCATAACCTCTGTTTTCTTTAACTATAGAGAAATGTTTCACATGCGACACCTAACACAGTCTGTAAACAAACATGAGTAGGGCACAAGTATCATAGTCATTGTGCGAGCAATATTTTTACACATTTGGGCTAAAGGCTATCTTGTGCAGTGATGAATCTGGCAGCAGGAACTCCCATCTGTAATGAATTTCTCTCTAAAAAAGTTTAGCTTTAATGGCAATCAGCCACAAAACCAGCCAAAACCAACACTAATAAACCAAAGACCCCATGTAAATATACCAGGAAGGTGTATTTACATTGCCTGAGCTTCACCTAGAAACAGAAAAGTAGTAACTGTCTAAGAAGCGTACAATGGTATTGTGTGCAGTAAGCCAACAATTTTCTGAAATACACTTAGGGTTTCAGAAAATTATGTGGACAAACTAGGGTTTTATCAGGTCAACAATGCAACTGCTTGGCCCTCCACCCTTAGACAAATTTACTACAACAAAGAATATGCATGCCTGCCAATTTATACGGATGTATAAATTATGGGTTTTATGAGTGAAATGAGCTAAACAGATTTCTTCTGTTTTGAGGCATAGCAGTGCTGAGGCATAATAGAATCTTCAGAAAGAACTTTAATTTGTTAATGAATTTCTGAGAAATACATTTAGTATTCTACACTCTTATATCTCATAGACCTGCTTTGAATCAATTCTGTTCCAGTTTTCTCTAACACATCCCTTCAATCTTTGTCTATTGTGTACTCCCACGCAAGCTTTACCTCCACGGTGCAAACTTCCTGCCCAGCCCAGGCTCACGTTCAACTCCTGATACCAGTTTCCTATGACAGCTGATGCTAATCTTTCCTTTCAACCTCCAGTGATACACCCCTCCTAGATCCAGCCTCACTGAAGCTCTTATTTCTCTCCCTTCTCTATCTTACCTTCAGTTTCCTGTGCATTCAAATCGGGTAACTTTCCTACCATGCGGCCAAGAGTCGGGAAAGAACACACGGGGACTACTAAACAGACAGGCACAGCCTTACTTGCACCCAGAGCAGGGAAGAAGCAGACTCTGTAAGGGAAAGTCTCCACTGTAGCTTTGGGAAGAACCCACCAAGACCTGCCAGGGTTGAGAAAGCCGAGTGAAAAATCTTTTTTAAAAATGTCACTGAATCCAGTCTCCAATGAACACAGATAAATCATTCTTTTTGAAAAGGCTCATCAGTTGCTTAAGTTTGTGGAAACTTCTACAGAGATGGCAGAAGATGACTTATCTGTAACAGGAAGGCTACATCCCTGCCTCCTCTAAAATGCTAGTGTGTTGTGATTTTCAGAGACAAGGTTACACGAACTTATGTATTTGAATGTCAGCAAAATTACAATTTCTCAATGAAGTGTCTCAATGCTTCTAGTTGGAGCTTCCCTGTGAAAGTTTCATGTACAGACCGAACTGAACACCTGGCACAGAAAACATTGGAAGGAATAATAACAGTAGGAAGCATCAGCCGACCTTAATAGACAGTGCTATCGGCCTTGCTGATAACATGCTGTCTCTCTTCCTCTCTCTTTATACAATTGCACACAGAGTCTGAGTTGGAATCCAAAATAAACTATACAAAAGAAGAACACACAAATATTAAACTAAGGAAAATTTTCAGATAAGACTGTGTTGGTTAGCTGAATGAGCAGAAGATGAAGCTGTGTGCCTACCACCCAGTCACGTATGGGTAGCAGGAATACTGCAGCATCCTCTACAACCCTGCAATACTTCATCCACACACCTTACTTTCAGTTGACAATGTCATCATCGTAACTTATGGTACAGCAGCATGCCCATTGCTTGTCGCGGCCCGTACAGAAATTGGCGGGCATTTCTGTTTTCCAAACAAACAAAGCAAACATACTAGATACCAGGATAAATTATTTTTTCCATACATCACTGTACCATCACAGGCTTTTCTTTTTCTTTTAAAATCAGCTCATAGCTGTTACGTGGTGGAGAAACTAGTAGCCAGAGCAGGGTCAAAAAGAACTGCAGACGTTACCACAGTATCAGTTCCATCAAGTGCCAAGCCAGAAGCAGCTGCTACTAGTTATACTCTAAACCTGTTTTCCCTCAACACCCAGGTAATATATAACTTAAGACCACCACTCACTTCAGATTCTGGCTTAGAGTACACAGCACAAATATTACTATAGGGAATTAAAATGACCTGGTAACGTTTCCTTATCTGTCTTGTTCCAAAAGCATTAAACGTGATTTATTTTGCAGAAAGAAAGATGAGGCACTTAACCTTTCTGAAACCACAGATAACCCCACATGAAAAAACTACTGCATACATTAGAAGTTCATATCCACAACCTTAAGTAGGAATTATTCCTCACCTTGATCCTGCTGACAGCTTCCTGAGCTTGCATCATTCTCACATTCTTTGAGGGAGTTTTATCAGAAAGGAGTTGAGTCGAGCCAAGGTAATTGGCAGCAAAAATGATTCCATCGATTAAGTCTTCAGGATCACAAGGTCCAGGAACTGTAACACAGGAAAGCAATCACTGAAGAAAATCATGCTGACCCATGGCAAAGCAGCAGCACTCTGACAACTTGAGCCTGCACCTAATGGCTGCAAATCCTCTGAAATACTTCAGTTTAGTATGATGATACGGCAACCAGTACTTTCAAAGGTACAAAACACCAAGCAAATGCTCTCAACATCTCTCCAGCAAAAGCTGTAATCGTTAATCCAGCCTGTCTCTCACAATAGCTCATTCTTTTGTGAGCAGGGATCACCCTGGAGCAAAATAATCTCTGTGAGTTTTTACTGTTATAAAGGGGCAAACACAGTTACACAGCTCGCCCCTCACCCACCAAAACCAGCCTTGCAATTCTAAGACCAACCGTCACAAACAGAAAGAGGAAGGGTGCAATTTAGTAACAGCCATCAGCCGCTTGCTCACTTGTGTGTAGCTGCGGTTAGTACAACAGGCAGCGGAACCTCCCCGGGAATGCTTTACAGGTGCAACAGGTTTCCCCTTACCAAGAGGATTGAATCCCCAGTTAAGCAAAGTATTTTTATGCCATAGACCTTTAAAAATCGTTCTTAGTCTCAACGAGGATACTGAGTTAAAGTAGAGAGTTAAATAAAAACGTTGTTAATATAGAGAGCATGGGCTCTCCTGATGGCAAAACAACTCTTTTAGTCCCACAGATTCTTAGCGATCTGACTCCCATCAACTTCTGTGGAAAGTTAAGAGGGTGGTGAAGTATTTAGTGCGTAACAATGCAAATCCTTACAAAGCAGCATTTATGATCTGTAAGTGTTTTGATATTTTAGATCATATCTAAAAATGTTCTATTTTAACACCTTACTACATGTTGAAATTGTCATGATCCAACAGGGAGGCTGGTTAACCTAAGAAGCTTCTTGTTTTCTTACAAGTAAGGAAAACCAATTGATGTTCAATTTGAAAATGAAAATAATCTTAAAGAATGCTAATGGTAAAAGTGTCCACATTTTATCACCAAAAAAATACACTGTTTTTAGGTTTGCCTTTTTTCCCTCTAAGAACAAAGCAAAACCCCTACAATATCAGAATGGAATTTTTATTAGTTCAAGGGGTATCTTGAGATGTAAGGTGATAGGGCTTAAAGTTCAATATTTCTCAGAATGCCAATTTTGTTGTAATTATAACAGAAGAGATTAACAACCACTCAGAATGAGCATGGGTAACTTTGGCCCCAAAGAAAGGCAAATCATTATTAAGATTAAAATAACAGAAGAAAGAGCTGGAGATAAGTATCACACTGAAACTACACTCACAGACAGAAGTAGATGTATGAATCTTATGAGCAAGCTTGTCTCATTTATGGTTTCTTTAAATATGAAAATTTATGACTAGTAATTTTAAGATGCTCATCTCCAGTGTGCAGAATTTGTTTAGATACTAGTATCTGGAAAACTCTCAAAATGAACAAGTCACTTCAAGTACATAACCTAAAGAAATGGAGTTTTTTCCTTAGGGAAATTCACGCAGTAAGTACTACATATTTGCACACTCTTCCAGTCCTGAAACCATACAGCATTTTAAGCATTGCTATTTGTTACTCTGCATGTCAAGGCCTTTTCACTGGTTCCACCACTTTACTATAAAGGGTACAAAACCCTTCATAGTACAATTTCTATCAAAACACAAAAAACACAAATATAGACTGACAAAGGTGTAGATAAGACTCCCAGAAGGAACCATATTAAATCCAAAAAAGGTATGTGCTCTATGTTTGTCAGAGATGAACACACAGACAGCAGTGCTTTTTATAAGACCATCTTCATTTAGACGGTCTGACAATGAAATTATTATCTGAATGGAAGTGTAGCATAGATTCTAGCAAGTTTTTCTTGACTGCTAGTGCATAAAAATGGAAAATTCATTTTTCTAAGGAATTTTGCACTGGACCAACATCTAAGAAAATTTTACTTTATAATTTTTTTTCTTAAGGAAGGAAGGATTATTTAAGATAGCCCTTGATAGACAGGGCTACCACTAGGATATGAATTTCAATTCTAAGAGAGATCCTTCATTGCTGCAAAATTCCAAAGCTCAGCTAGTTTCAAAACAATATATGAAATTTAAATTAGTTGACATTCTGGCCACAGACTCCAAAATATGCAGCTCATACATTGAAGACTAAACCAATGATCAATTTGTAGTCTAAAGAGAACGATTGCATAATTGTTTAAACACAGCGCACTGTAAAGCAATCCAAAGAGTTCCAAGACAGTCCAAATGACGTATCACATCAACTGTATTTCTGGCATTTCATCAAGCATATGGAACAACTGCTGTCAGGGATAAAAAAAACAAATGAAACTTTGAATTTTCTGCTTCTGTCATGCTCTCATAACAAAATAACTGGGTTTTACAGCATGCAGTCTTCCTATATACACAGGATGCAGACTCATACAAAAGGTAACAGCAGCTCATGTAGCAGTAACCTGCTTTTTCACATTGTTCTGAATAAATTCAGCACTAGTACAAGCACAACCTTAACTCTAAGACAGGAAGCACTATTTAATTAGAGGACAAGCAACTGTAAAGCAATACAGATTTCCTGTGGCAGGCCTGCCAATTAATCCAATTAATTCAGTTCTGCTAATTAATCCAACTGAGATTGGATTGAGCCTGCCAGTTGAAATCAGTGCTGGAGAGAGCACTACACTCTTCTTGCCTAACCTATTTTCCTTGTCCACACACACTCACGTGTGTTGTGTAAATACCGTAAAAAAATTAGTAGTGTTTTAAGTGATACTGACAAAAAAACAGCATAAACAATGAATGAATCACTAAAAAAATAAAAGCTCCATGCTTCTGAACTTCTGAAAGAGCACAGTAGAAGTCAGCTTAGGTTCCAGATTGGACACAATTTAATCTAAATCAGCATACCCAACCCTAGCAGCTTTTCTATTCAGCAAATAAAAATAAAATTTTATACATTAAAAATATTGGAGGTTTTTTTGATATGAAAAAACATTTAGAAATCGTAGGACTATCTTACCTTCAACATAGGTTGGAAACGAAGCCAAGCTTTTTCTGGACTGTAATTAAGACAAAAAGGATTTCAAACAGAACAGAGCATGCAAAAATATGCATTAAAAATTTCTCCATGCCAAAATAATAAAAAAGTAAATCAGTCATAGTTATTAGCAAAGGAAGATCACCATTTATTAAGATTTATTATTATATTTAGTATTTTCAAACTCTAAGCACCTACTAGAGTTAAATTCAACGTATTCCATTTGTGTCGTTATCTATCAGGCAACATGCTAGGCCCAGTTTTCGGTTGCTTGTTGGTGTTCAACAGTATATTAACTGTCTACCAATAGGTGCTCTACTTTTACTAATCAAGAAGTATGCAGGAAAATATATCATATCTCAAAGACACTGGATCTTTCAACTACAAATAAATACATGCAGGAATATATAAAATTACGCTATACTGTTGTTATTCATGACTGAAACCATCCGCCCAGTCAGTTATTCATTAACAAAATGCTGTTATTCATTAACCAAATTCTGTTATTCATTAGGACTATTCTTAGATGTATCCCTCACATTAATACAGCCTACAAAAAGCTTCCTAAATTTTAACAGGTTAGGTAGCAACCTGTATTCTGTGGAGTAACCAAATTCACTAACACTTCACCACCAACTATGTTCACACTGTATCAAGCACAAAAACACATCTCGTAGCTTCAATTTTGTAAAAGGTGAACAAACAAAAAAAATCCTGACTTGTGTATGTAAATACACAGTCTAAAGTTAAGACCTTACTTCCAGCTGCAATTTTACATGAAAGAATCTGTGGCTAACACTTGAAACACTTGAAAGCTACAACCTTCAGTGAGTAAGACTCATCATTTTGTTATAATCAGTAACATAAAATACATAGGAAAATTTATCCAAGAAAATTCTGTGTGGCAATATATAGATGGTAATAGGTATATCTGCTGCTACCATATGTGTTGCAGATAAGAATTTTGGATAGTCCAAGGATTACAAAACTTTAATGAATCTACAACTGATTGTATTAGCAGTAACTCCTCCAATGACTCCTTAATACAGTTTTGATAAAAGAAAATCTATGTATGACCAGAATAATGCATAATATCTTAGATAATTTCCAGTATATTTCCAGATACTATCCATTGAAATATATGCCAAATCATGTTCCTTTATGACGGACAACTTACTAGGTTCTGTGTAGGTGGAAAAACCAGGTAAACTAGAAAGGTCACAGTTACGTGACAGGTCGAGTGACTTACCCTAGTGAGCGTTTTCCACTGTAACAAATAGAAAATTGATGTAACAAGTAATATTTTTCAACCAGTGATGCTTGTCTTGCTATAAAATAAAACGACTCATAAAATAAAAACAAAAGGTGCATGACACAGACAGCAGAGCCTGCGCAGCCTTTAAGTACTTGCTGTTCCTTATGAAAATGACTAAGCTGTACTGCAAAACCAAGTAAGCTCTCCATCAGAGACTGTACTAGCATAAATAAAGATGTCAATAAACAACGATCTCCCACTGCCAAAGCATTGAAGCTGCTGTGAGGACACCAACATGCCTTTTCAGATCTGTGGCTCTTTCATCTCTTTAGGTGAATGTTTTTACTGGACCACCTACCCATACAGACTTCAACAATTGTTTGTAATTGCTGCTGGTGTAGTGCTAAGAGGGAGATTCAACCACTCGACTCTGACAGGCCTAGAGGACAAATCCCCTACACACCGGAGACAGCTCATGTATACAAATGCCCTTTTTATTTGTTATAAACAGAGTGAACAAAGTTTGTAATTACAGATTTGGCAACTATTCAGCAATCTGACTAGCTGATGCAACTTCTTTTCAGGATGGAGTGGTGTAAACTGTCATCATATATGCTTTATTGCAAAAACACACAAAATTAAGTTTTTTGTTCATTACCCAGGTTGAAAGACATTCTACTAAGACCACAGGAATAGTAAAGTAACAGGTAAAGTTACCAATAGGAGGAAACCTACACCTTTTAATTTTACATATCCATGAATAATGAAATATCAAGGTCATTAATGTTCTTGTTAATCTTGTTGCCACATAGTATTATAAAATTTATATTTTAAAAAAATGTTTTACTAAGACCTAGAAGTCATTCCCAAAAATGATGAGGCTGCTTTATCACTGTTGTTCTTGCACTGGAAGTACTAAAGCAGGCATTATTGTTCATCTGAGGAAACAAACAGCCTGATACATCCTACTGTGAAACCTGGTTTACCACCTCTGATACTACGTGTGAGCACATGCTGAAAACTGAAATGAGTAGCATCTTGCCTGTTTTCTTCCTTTGGGTAAGTTTATTGATATCTGAAAACTGCTAGAAGTTAGAATATATGAAGTGACAAAATCTGTACTGAAGAAAGCTAAAGGCTTTAACAAGCTAACAATACAGCAGATGAAAACTTAATGGCACAATCTATCGTTGAAGGCTTTAGTACATGAGAAATTACGAGCTTCTTAAGTCTTTGGAAACCTTTCATTATTTTCTAAATGCAAATACAGACTGGCAAAAATACATACATGTTACAAGGTTTTTTATCTCTTATTAATAACAAAAGAAAAAAAGAAATAATGGATTACTAATTAGTGTTTCAATTTTAATCAGTTGTAGTAGACCAGTTTTTTCCATTGTGGAAGATAAGTCATGCATTGTTATCAGTAACAATATGGTATCATGATAGACTACAAATTCTACATTTTTTTGAAGTTTAAAAAACAAACAGCAAATAAACCAAATATTTGCACATTTTTCTGTTTACAGAGCCAGCCATTCTATACTAATCCAAATACTCTTTATGCCAAATGATTTTCTTTTCACACTGCACGAAGTTCTACTCACACTTCTCATTTTGTGTTTGTGGAACTACTGCTGTGTAAAAAGCTGCCAGGTGAGGAAAAAAAAAGAAAAAAACCCCCGACCCCCTCCCCGCCCCAAATTAAGTATTTAGCTTTATTTAGAGGAGCCTGGAGTCAGGAACTGTATTCTGACTGTGAATCACTGGCAGGTCAGCTTCTACAAAGACGAAATATTAAGCAGCATAAATTACTACCTAATTAATTTCACTTAAGGAAGCTTTTTCATCTGGCTAAGAAACATTCTTTTCTTTGCAGAAAGACATTCTGCATGGAAAAAATAAAAAGGCCTTCTTCCTTTTGCCTGTAATACAGAGGTGATGTTGGCTGTTTGGCAAATCAATACCTCCCAGCCTATTAAATAAATGTAGTGGCAGCTGAACACAAAGTTAGAAATGCCATGATAAATAGTCTTAAGTATGTTAGAAATTCAGTCAGACAGCCGGGCAAGCATAAGGGAAAGGAGCTACAAATCAGCTTTTCAAGTCTGTTGCAATTTTGGAAGAAGAGAAGGGATTGCACAGGTACAAGGGGGCAAGGAAACTAAAAAGGCATAAGCAGCATGAACGTGACTGTGGCTTTTAAAAAGATTTCACTCTACCTCTTTATTAGTGGAGGCCTCTGCTGTACTGCAGACATCCTGGTGATGTTGCCTACTTGACGATTCAGCACCCCGAGGTGAAGAGGAATCTGGAGATGGAGACTAGACATGGCAAGAAAATTAAATAATAATCTGAGTGACCAATGTAGAAACTGTTCTTTCATATTTTCCCCTAACTTGGCAGTGGAAATAAGAGATGAGATGGGTAAAAAAAAAAAAGAAAAAACAAGACAAACACTTTAAAAATGTTGCAACCCTTGCTTTTTACCATAATGATCACGTATCAGTATCTCAGTGGACTTACTCTGAACAGCTAATCTTTTTAAAACCACCTGTGTTTATTTGTCAGTAATGTATGAAATGAAGCAGGCTAATGACAGTGAGCTTACTGAAGGCTGCAGGCAATGCAGACCGATGTCCTAAGCTCTGACATTCTAGGAAAGAAAAGATAAAGTCACTAAGAAGTAAGCTGTGACGAGAGACAGGTGAATTGACCATGACCAGACCGCAGGGATTCAGCTAAAGATTACTTAATTGTCAAACTGGGGGGAGTGAAGAAAAGACTGCAATTTCCCCATAAGCACACATACTTTCAGGTATAATTAACCTGAAGTGCTAAACTAACCTAATCTGAGCAGAGGTAGGCTGCAGTGGTTGTCCATAAATGTTATTCCATCATCTTTGAAAACAATTTCTATAAACTGTACAGAGTAATACTAATGTATTACGAATAGATTCAAGGACTACTCAATACCAGTGTAATCAAGGACTATGATTCCTCATCGTAGATACAGCGCAAACTTGCAAAATATTTCACAGTTCAAGCTATGATCCTAGTATTATATGTGCTCTTTAGATCAGATCTCCTCATTTTTCTCCCTTCACCGTAAACAATGTAGTGGAGAAACTGTCTTTCCAATCATGTCGTAGTCATTCATGATCATCAAGAATGTCACAGCAGAAAAACAAAGGAAACAGCATAGAAAAGCAGTATCGTGGAATATCTAGATCTATGTGATCTGTCAGCAAGTATCTTGGTAAAGGAAAAGAATACTTTGGGAAAGAATATTCTAATCATAGGCAATTCCTAATGAATGCTGGTGACACTAAAAAGCTATAGCAGGGTATCTAAAGTCCAGAGCAGAGGGGACTGGTATGGGGGTATGACACAAGAACACAGAGTGTGGAATTAATGAAGGTGACCAAAATGAAAGAGAGTACAAAGCTTCAATCCAGCTGGCATTTTTAAAGGCAGATCTTAAGGAGATACCTGCAAAATGTGTCAGTGCGCATGCCAAAATGTGAATCCTCAAAGGGAGGTTTAGCATTTAGCTATGCAAGCTGGGTGTTTAGCCCAGCAGCCCTGGCATTCTACACTCTCCTTTGACATAGGGGGTTTGGCCCTAGCTTTGCCAGCTTAACAGTTCATCACTGATGTCAAATACTACTCTTCTGGTTTCATAAACAATTACATGACACAGCTTTTCTCTAAGCCCATGAGTCATACCAGAAAAGGGCTACACTTCCAGTGCTCTGAGCTGGCAGCAGCTCCAATCTAGGAATGCCCTCCTGCTATGCCTCCACTCCAGCTAAAACATCGAGTTCTATGAAACAGTGTGCAAAAAAAAAACCCCAAAACCTAAGTTTTGCAAGCTTAGCTTCACAGATATGGAACAAAACAAGAAAATAAAATTCCCTTCTCCTCCTCTTTCTCTTTAACTTCATTCCTTTAGAAGGTCTATCTTGGCTAATTACCCTCATTCCTTTAAAAGGTCTACCTTGACCTATTACTAAATATTAGAATTATAGTTAACTAATAAAGGCTTCCAAAGAGTTAAGAAGCAATTCCTTTTACAGATATTTCCTGGGTAAAAGAGCAGTCCTTGCATCTCCCTATATTTTGAGTTACAACCGCAAAAAGGAGATCAGCTGTGAAACGGTCCCTGACCAGATGCAGCTGTGAAACGGTCCCTAGAGCGCTGGCATGTCCTTGTGCCGTCAGACTCAAGGATTGCTCATTGCACTGCCAGCATTCAAGCAGGGGCTGTGGGAGAGATACAGGCTCCCCTGACTTGCTGTGTAACTACCACAGTACAGTGACTCAACTGCACAAATGGCACCTCCTATTTACTTAAGGAAGCGCCCTCATAGTACTCACATTCCCAATAGTTACATAGTATTTCTGTATTAGGATTAAATATAAAAGGTGCACAATACTATCAACCTAATAATGACGTTGGCATATTATAGCATTGAGTTCTAAATAGTGAACAAAGAAACAAAGTAAAGCATACCATACTTTAGCACCAAATGTTTCCACAAAAAAGTTTGTTAAAATGCCTGAAAGTTCTGATACTCACACACTAAAGTGACTACAATAAATGATTTCATTTAAACCAGCTGGTTGCTCACATTAAGAGATTTTGCACCATTTAAAATGTATTAACAGTTACTCTAGTAGCACTACAAATACCTTTACTCAGCTATTTTCATCTACTAAGTAACAGAATTAAGCAACCATCAAAATGATCACACAGCTTTCCATGTGCTCTGATTGAATGTCTACTCAAATTTTTCTCGGGGAAAAAACCCCAAACCAAAACTACTAAACCCAAATATCAAACATCCTATAAAGTTTGCTACATGACATGACATGAGAGCTGTCCCCAAAAACATTTGTACAAAAAAGTTCAGTCTGCGAAGAATAAACACTCGGTTTTCTTCCGCATCAAAATGCGTTTTTAGAAGTACCATATACAATGCATAAGGAAAGAATGCAGTCACAGCAATAACAAGAAATATTTTGATTCATCATAGTGGGTAGACAGCTTGCATAGCTACTCAAAACACTACAACTGAAGTCCAAAATAAATGCTTAGTGACTGCTCCATTGTCTGGTAACAAAACAAATTTTAGGAGCCTAACAAAAATGCCGTCAGAACAAACATAGTCAGTTCATGTAAAGCATGCTGTTATTACATAGAGAGGTCCATCAATGGAATTACAAAGTGTTTTCTTAAGTACAGCAACAAAAAAGTACTTGCTACCCCATTTCTCCTCTTGAAAATCTACTTACATTTTTCTTACGATACTCAACCTGGTACATCCAAAAATTCTCCATCTTAACTTTGGCTTTGTTTGACTCTAACTAACACGTAACCCATTCCACCCGAGAAACCTTCCGTGCTATTGTGCAGAGGGATTTCGTTACAGAACTTGTAACAGGAAAGGATTGTGTTGCACTGTGTTGCATCTAACCTATCCAGGTCAACCCAGCCGGCTACTGAATAGCTCATGAAGACAAACATAACTGACACTGAAACATTGTCAGGTACAACCACCTGCTCTTTCTTTATAAAAGCAGTGTTGTTTTACCTGCTTTTAGCAGCAGCTTATCTGAAAGGAATATAACCTAGTGGGTCACATTGTCACATACAAGGCTGGGACAGGGGGGTTGAAATCAGCAAATACTTCAGTAATGCAAGATTCACATAAAGAAAAGGCCATTACCTATATGACCTTTGGCCCTAGCTTTGCCAGCTTAACAGTTCATCACTGATGGCAAACAGTCAAATACAGTCCACCTACAGGCTTCTTGGCAGAGGAATGGCAAATATAGTCTTCTTGTACATTAGTTCAGAGGAGACAACTGGATAAAGCAAGGCTCTTAAATCTATTTGATTTCCGTGATAAAAAGTCTTCTGAGAAGTACCCATACACATTAGGCAAAGGTCAAAGCACTATGAAATATTCAGGTCCAACATGCAAGTACAGTTACTTTCACAAGCGCCGCCCAGTACAGCACAACTATGACAGTAAATCTCTTAGGTTTTAGTACCGCTATTTTGTGGCAGAGTATCTACTGTGATTTAAACAGTTCAAATTCTACCCACTAAAATGTAGACTGAGACCATCAAATACATGTTCATAGCTTTTAGATGGCACAAAGTACCCATAAAGAATGGAGCTGAAAGCTAAATTTCCTTACAATATAACTAATCATCATTATTGGTTGTCTTTGTTTAAATTTGCTTTAACTATAGTGTTAAAAATTGAGGGTTTGAAAAAATAAAACCAACTCAGAACTATTGTAGACATACATGCATACTGTGGCACAATCTATGCAAGTTACTTTATAACTCTGACATAAATATGAAACTTAAGTTTGTACTGTATTTGTGGTATAATTGTAATTGTGTGTAACTGCCTCGGCACATATCCAGTGCACTTACCCATCCGTTTGCTGGGTAGTTCAGGACCAGCACCCTGCCAGTTTGTGCACAGATGATTCGACAAGTTGACTTGAGACAAGGTAACCGACTGAACTGCTCACTTCAGAACAAAGCATTTGACTAATTGCTATAGGACCTCTCCATACAGGAATTTCAGGCAGCCTCAGAGATTCCCCCAGCAGGCTCCTCCTGTGCATATGACAAGTGAGAGGCACAATTTATCGCTTCAGGGTGCTAACTACCATCCTGGGTAAGGGACTCTGGCTGACCCAACAGCTCCCATGCACAGTTTCTGCTGCAAAAATGACCAAACAGTACATGGATAAGGTACTTGCTGGTAGTCAACTGAAACTATCCCTGCAGATGCAGATAAGGTCATGTATGACAGTCTTATGTACACAGTTAACATAGGAGGTGTTTTGTGTGCAGCTTAAGGAAAACTATAGCAATGGATCACACGTGCTAAGTGGTCATGTAGGATCACAGACCAGCTGGATGTAAGACCTGAGAACAAATGCAGTTTGGGGAGACTTAGTTTGGCGAATCTCCCCAGATCCAGCTGACGATGGCCTGCAAGGACGGAGCCTCCTGCCACTTAGCACCATCTGGACAATGATTGACAATCCCACTTGAGAGATCTGACTGTCCCCGCATGTTACACTATGCAAAAGCTCTGAATAAACTAGCTTTTTTAAAACAAACACACTGTCCATGAGTGTCTGCACAACATTACTGAGTGGTAATTCTTCAGTAAAATTCACTGAAGTTACAAAACCAGAGATTTAGACCTAAGCAGTAACTGTGCACTTCTGTCAAAGTCTTTGAAGAAAGACCCCCGCCTGTTACTGTTATATTACTGTCTCAAATACA